AGGAATTAACTTCGGAGGGAACGATGGTTTAGACATACATGCTGTATCGGGTTCCAACAATCATGGTGGGTCAGGAGGGGTCGGGACAACGCCTCGGAATAATCGGCGAAGTAGGAAGCCGGCGGTCTGCTCCCTGTTAATATAAACAGACCCAACAGACCCAACTCGATCACGGTATGTGCCCAAACACACAGCAGATGCGGATGGTTTGACAAGGTCAGGCATGTGCGGCAAATGCAATGAGGGTAGTTCTTTATAGTTTACAATTTTTGAAAGTTGCAACTCTTTGTTTCAAATCATAACAACATTTAAAAATAGAGCCGATTATCATAAATTTTGAAGGTTGGGAGAAGTACAGAACAAGAAGCAAACACAAAGATAAGAGTCGAAAGAAAGTTGGAACGATCAGACTTCCTGGGAAACCTTGGAAGCTTTGTCTTTTGACTTGGCTGGGAGCAGCTCGGAGTGAACTGTAGACGAAGAAGGAAGTCAGAAGATGTGGAGGGCGTAAAGGGAGGATGTATGCTTGTTTGGGACTTACTCTGTGGAATAACACCACCCTGTGAGATAACACAGTGACCGAGGAGCTTGTTCAATTCTTCGTCGTTCTGAGATAGGGGAGAAAGTCAGCTAAGGCAACGATCCAGATCCTTTGGTGAAAAAAGAGCTTACTCGGATGGCAAGTTGTAGATGACGGGGGATGATTCGAGATTTCTTGTTATCCCGAGCAGCGTTTCCGGCCAATTCAAGAATTTCAGCTGCCAGGTATTCCAGAACGGCGGCGAGGTAGACTGCAATCAATCAAAAAGAAGTGGGTTAGCAAGATCAACCGGTTGTTTCGGTGAGCATTTGAGGTCAACTAACCAGGTGCACCAGCTCCAACTCGCTGGGCATAGTTGCCCTTTCGGAGTAGTCGGTGGATACGACCGACAGGGAATTGAAGACCGGCCTTGGACGAACGAGATTGGCTGGCAGCTTTCTCGCCACCGGCTTTGCCTCCTTTGCCTCCTGACATTGTTGTGTGTGTTGGTTTTTGGGTGGGGTGGGTTTGGTTGGTTGGTTGGTTGGTGAGGTGGTTTTTGTGTTGATGGTTGAGCTTGGAGGTGGGATGGTCTCCGGTTGAAGGGGAGGGTGTTTATATACTCTTGGGACATCCCAGGGGAAGCCCCCGTGACAGTCCCCAGTTGCAGGACTTGGCCGCCGGCTGGCTGACTTCAGGCGCGTCTTGAATTCGGACCACGCTCCCCGCAGTTCCCAGCCAGACGCGATCGAGCACTCTGATTGGTCAGACTCGCCGGATCGACCACCCGCCGCGTGAACTCAGCACAACGGCCAACCCCCAATAAAGGAGAAGAGAAGCCTCCACTTGGATGCTCGCCATGGAGCACCCGACCTACCACAACTCACCACCAACCTCAGCAGAAGATGTCGACAAGCGAACCCATGCCCGGAGGAAGTGACTGCCTGATCAAATTCGGATCTCGGGCCGATTACAACCGCTTCGTTGGCCAACTGCGCTCTCAACTCCGCTCGTATCTGATCACCTCATGTCAAGAAAACAATATCGAAATCGGCAGCCCGGACTATCTGGCTGTCGAATCCGTCCTCATGGATGTGCGTACTTGCTCTGTTTTTTTTTTTTTTGATGCAGGAACAGTCTGTTCTGACCAGTTTGTCTACTTTCAGGTATTCATGAAATATACGCTCGAATTTATTAGGGAAAATCTTCTCGTGGATGGCCGTCCTCTTACACCCCCGCCAGAGTTTTCTGAGCCATCTCGACGGGTCAATGGGACCGGATCAGCAGACCAGCCCAACAGCCATCACAATCGGTCGAATAGCAGTCGAAGCAAGGAGCCCAAACCACCTCGGACGAGGCCATGCGATACGGCGCTGAACGAACGAGTGATCCGACAGCAGTATGCCCTCTATGACGCTGCGGTTGAGAACACCCGGAAGCGGAAAGACCTTCCAGGCCACATCGTCCAACGCATCGAGGCCGCTGCCGAACAATCTACCAAACACTTGCACTCCCAGACCAAAGAGGTCGATCAACTCGAAGCTACTAGAGCCGAAGAAGCCGCTAATGACCCTCGGCAGAGGTGGGACGTCTTGAATGGTAAATCAATCATCGCTCTTGCTCCTTCGCTCCATATGTATCTGACTTTTCTCCCCCTCTGTCTTCCAGCTGAGCCGCCCAATATCCAAGAAACACAACAAGATTTCACTAGTGCTAATCAAGCTATCTGTAAACTGATTCAAGTGAGCCGAAATCAACATCTTCAAGCCTCCCATTACATATACTGACCCTGCCCCTTTTCACAATTAGTCCCTGCCTCAATTAATCCAAACTGCCTCTCGAGCCATCAACTTACACGACGAAGTAGCAAACGCATTGAAATCCACTTGACTTACATTCATCCTCAAACGCACTTGTACCAATTTTAAACTAGATTTCGTTCTTTCTATTGTTGTTTTTAATATTCACTTTACAGCTCCTCTCATGTACGCTTTAATTGCGATTGTTTTCATCAGTGATTCGTATACCAGCACATGTATTTCTATCAATCAGTAGACGAATTCAGACCAATTTATAGCCACAGTGGAACCTGTCAGCAGGCTTAATTATCTGGACCAAACATATTCTTTGTTCTTCAATTTTGTATTCGACATGGATTGGATCAAACAACATGCACATCAATCGTAACCGTTTGATGCGC